CATGACCAACTAACTGGCTGAAATTTTTCAAAATCTATTACATTAAGATTAGGGGTAAATTGCTCTAAAACCCACAATATAAACTCTTCCAGACATTAGGGTATTTTCATCTTCTCCTGAGTTTCACTGTGCATACTCATCTTTGATGTTGTATAAGGTACGTATGTGGTGCCTGGTGACAAACATAGGTTGAGATGGCCTAGGGGAGGAATAAGAAAGAAGGGGTGAATTACTTGTAAATTGATCCTGAGTAACGACAACGGATGGGTAGTTCTTTTTAAAAAACCCAAATGACAGCATATGTTCCAGTTTGAAAGCACTAAAGACCAAGCTTGCCAAAAGCTGCAAAGCTGGTAAATAAAGCAGTAAAAATATTAACTGGATACTGAAGTCAATTCTAAATTTGGTTACTTCAAGTAACTATAAATTTAAGCAGATAAACACAAGACTATCCAGAGAAAAAATTAAAATCTTTGACTGCAAAAGTACAGCTGGAGGGCAGGGCACAATGTTATTTGAGGCACAAAACAATAAATCCCTAGGAGTTTGACTTCCAGGATACACTCAGGTCAAGAAATATATGAGTGCCCCAAAGAATATAAAATTTAGGGTCACAGAGAGTTTCTTGCAAAATTTTCTGACTGTAGACAAGAATCTGCCAGAGTATTTCAGGTTGTTAGTTGTTGCCAGCTTGCAGTAAACTATGGTGATAACCCTTGGTATCTCATGCTAGAAATGGTGTTTTTCATCCATGCTTGCCATAGTACTTTGCAATAGTGATCCATGCAGCAGGTGCTATCATTTCTTTCTGGTATTGTGTGATTTAGTGATGTGGAATGTGTTGTAAAATTTACTACTTCCTGTGCTCCAAAATTGGCCCTTTCATTAACATAATGCCATTATATCTTAAAATGCCTCTTACAATCTTCTTTATGAGAAAAAAAAAAACAAAAAAAAACAAAAAAAAAAAAAAAAAAACAAACAACAAATAAAACAAACAAAAAACAAACCAAAATCCACAAACCTTTATCATATAAACTGGGTGTCAACTCATGCAGAGTTCACCTTCCTCTCTAAGCAATCAGGTGGTAGAGTCAATTGTATCCTGTGCCTCACTTTACCAAACGGGTTGTATCTGAAGATGAAACAAAAACAATTAGCCGAAGGTAAATATAAAAGTTACTAGCTGTTTCACTAACCAATGTATCACTGTCAAAATCTCTTCTTTACATCACGTGACTCAGTACTCTTAACAGAAGACTTCACAACATAGCATTCATAAATTTTGCCACTTGGCTGTATGTGCAGCTATGCTAATGTACAGGAACTAATACTCCTTATGAGTATATTGCTGACTTCTGCTAAAATAACTTTGTTGTATAGAACTGGATGGAGGTATGCCAACAGAAACCCCTAGTATACACAGAGGCAATGTTTTCCTAAACATGCATGTCATACCTCCCCTGCACTCCTGAAACCTGGGTCTGCATTATCCAGGATCAAATTGCACCAACTGCAGTTGTTTCCCAGGAGAAGTCACTGGGGCAGTAAAAGTGCATGTGATATTGCAGATCAGCTGAATGGCTCATCTCGGTTGGTACACTAAAAGCATAGAGCTAGACTGTACAATCAAGTTTCATATGACAAACTGTCGATCAATGAATTAAAAGTCAACCCTGAGTGAACAAAGCAGATACCTCTTTGTGTTCTTCTGCACAGTTGCAGAAATGATAACTGATAGTTAATATTTCAGCAATAGCACCTCTGCACTTTTTAATGTATTGCAAACTTTTGAATGTATAGGGACAAAAGTTGGTCTTGTGAATTTTCAGGTTTTTGTAATTTACATGTACCTTAACATATAGATAAAATTATTTGATGTTTTAATAAATATTTTCTGTTTCTGCATGGGCAGGCAGATATATACAATAAAAAGAAACACTTCAGAGAAATAGAAACCTGTAGCAAAAGAAAGTATTTCTTCTTAGGTATCCATCTTAAATTTGTGAGTAAATATTATGCTTTCTGTGTTTTACTGGCTATTCACTCAGTTATCCCTCTCATGTTATTTTAAAATAACTGAGTGTGCATACTGGAGACGTGAGGTACAATGAGCCAGTAACCTCTGCCTTTGCTTCCCAGCTTCAGCTGTAGTTGAAATTGCCTGGGCTGATGGGAGGAGAAGGGTGTGAGGCAGGAGCAGCAGGAGCTCAGGGGCAGAAAGAGGCCACTGCAGGATTCAGAAAAGGTGAAAGAAGAGGAGAGAAAAGTAGCAGGGAATGAGGAGAAGGTAGAAACAGCAGCAAACAAAAGGGTTGAAATATACAGATCTCTTTTGCTTGGAAAATCAGGAAAGAGCCATGTGTTCATCTGTATATATGACAGTAGGCAGATTGAAAAAGGTCTAGTCTTTAGAGCAGAATGCTGTTCAGTTCAAAGCATACCATTGCAGTGAGCAGGCATGACAAAACGCCAAAATGGAGACTGCAACAGCATGGGAAAAGACACCAGAAAGTAGTGCCCAAGTACTCATGTCCTGGATTTGACTGGACTTCACCTGACACTGTGATCAGATCTGTTCTGCTTTTGTGGCTAGAACACAGTGATGGATGTCTAAGTTTTAGCCATTTACTTAATGAAATATCCAGTGCTATTCTTGCTGCTGGAGTCCCACCAGTGTGCAACGTACTCATCTCTTTCCATTCTGTACATACACAAAACTTTGTGCGGCTCACCTTGCCCACAGCTGTGTTTCTTGCTTTCATCACCAGCATATCGCTAGAGATAGTGGGTGTAACTGTATTCAGGGTTGAGGATGATGGGGCCTTTGTGTGAAAGAGGTACTCATTTCATATAAAAGTCTTTACTATTGTTTCTGAAGGTAACTTGCAACCAAATAATCACTTTTACACCATGTAATCAGCATCAGAAAAGTATTTTTCATAGTTTTTTTTATATATGTGACAAAATTCTGCCTAAATTTGGCTGCCCTTTCAGAGCTAGTGCAAAAATATTTTTCCAAGTACTAGATGTCCAAATAAATCAGGGAAGGCAGGCTGCAGTATCCCTCTGTAATGACCAGCAGAGTTTGGTGAATGCTTTTATGTAGGGAAGTCCTCACCTTAAAAACAGCATTAACATTTTAAGATTTTGCTGTCTTCCACTCTATTTCTCTTCATTATAAGGGGCTAGAGCTGCTACCTCCTGAACCCAGACACCGTAACAGATTGTGCAAATAGGTCAAATGCACTTCAGTGTGCTCAGGAGAGTCCCCTTGGACTACTGCTGAAGGCTGCTCAAGCTAAGTCTGGCTGGCTTTGCATGGAAACACAGTAAGGATGCCCACCCACATGGTCTGTGAGCACGGCTTACTTGGGAGGCAGCAACTCCCCAGATCATTTCAGTTTGTTCCACGAGAGCACATTTCTCTCAAGCCTGGCTGCTGTGTATTCATGAAGGTCAGAACAAGTGTGAAGCCTCGGGCACTCTGCAGTGAGTGTCCCCCTGCGAGTTCCCCGTGCAGCTCCATGCTTTCGCACATCATGCTTTCTCCTGATGATGAAGTCTGGCAAATCAGGAAATCCTGATCTTCTGTAATCATTGAAGGGTTTACTGCTTTCCTTAAATGTTCTGGCATGATTGTGATGGCTGCCTTATTATCCATTGTGTTTGGGTGTAACTCATTATGCAATGCCACTGTTGCAGCATCTTCTCTGCAGTGATGTTTGCACTTCCTGGCTTATGCATTCACTCTAACATCTCAAGTAGTTTATTTTCTAATCTTTTGAGGGTACCTTATCCATCATAAATGTCTTCACCCTGTCCTTCTTTTGTAATCTGTATATCCAGCAAAGCCCTTTGATGTATGAAATGAGAATTGTGCATGAGCTTTTTCCACCTTGGCCATCTGTATTAATATGCTTGACCTAAGTACTCTAAATGAAATAAAATGCTTTTCAGCTTCATCTCTATTAAGCTATAGGGTGCTACAGCACAAGATTAATGGTTTCAGCTGGCACACTGACAGGCAGAGAGGGGTCATTACTGCCCTCTCGTTCCAGACAGAATTCCTCTCCTTGAAGAGAGGGTGCTCTTCTAAGGCCTCATAACAGGTTGACGTAGAATTTATTTTCTTGGCAGAGTAATAGATGGAATGGAAACTTGCATGTTTTGTACAGCAAATTTTTTGTTACTTTAATTTTCCTTTGGTTAAAAAGGTTACATATATTTTCTTGGGAACCTTAAACTATTCTCATTCATCCTATAAATAGAAACTGTTGTAATACTAGTGGGTAACTTTACATTTCCTTTCACTGCTGTATATATAACCCATGATGGAAAGACTGTTTTGCCATCTCTCAGAATAAGCATACTGTGTATTGCATGCTAACTAGGTCTGTTACAGAATAGGTAAATCAGAAGTTGCTTTCTCAGGTTAACGTAGGCTACTCTTAAGGTATTTCCTCAATTTCCCTTTATCTTTAAAAATTTCTTAGATAGTTTCAGGACATTTTCCTTATTTATACTAATTGTCTGAATTTATTGCTTACCAAAGTTAATTTCTCCTTCAGGGTTTGTATTTTACTCTTCTTTCTGTTATTCTATTTCCAGGAACCAGCATGGCATTTCTTCTTTTCACAACAGCTTTGCTGTTCTGGTCTTGAATTTGTAGCCAAAAGTTTTATGCCAAAGGCAAACTTTTGAAATGGACTGGCAAACTCACTTTTATTCATATCTAAAATGACTATTCCAGTCTTTACTAAAAAAAAAAAAAAGAAAAAAAAAAACTTAATTAAAAATTCAAATCACTAGTTATCAAATGAATCTTATACTAAGTAAGGCCTAAATAAGGAATTTGAAGAAACATTTCCAGAAGAGAGAAACAGTTAATGACCCACATTTCATTACCTACCTCTTAAAAAGTAGTTTTTCTTTTAATTAAAGGTTGCTTCTTTTGACATCATACAATCATAGCTTACACCTGGTCATTTCTCCTATAGCTGTTTCCAGTCCTTCTGAAGAGCTAAATCTTGATCCAGTAGAAGAGAAACTTCGAACAGAAATTGAAGAAGAAAAAAAAAGGTATTACTTCTGCCTCAAACTTCTGCTACTCTTCAGAAGATAAATTATACTGATAGTATATTCCAATTACAATTCTGCACACCCAGCTACCCTCAGGGTTTTCTCTGACATTTTAAAAATGTCAACTTTGTGGTTCACTAATAGTTTTTAAATTTGTGTGTATGCTGTTGGTTTGCCTGTAAGATGCCACAGCACATGAGCGGGGAAAACTTACGCTTGGGTTAATGGCTAAAAATAAATTAAAATAGCTTCATGTCCTCACTGAGGATTGTGTTAGAAACTTGTTCTTTGATTCCAAAGGTATTGTGAACCTTTTTGTTTGATTCAGAAATGTCTTGCCTTCCTTGACCTAATGAAATCCTTTAGGCTATACAGGATTGACTAAGTGTAAATAATATGCAGAATACACGTTAGTTAACCAATCCTTGCTCTAATGTCGCTGTAGCCAGGAGGATAAAAGAAAATAGATGCAAGGATATCAGTTCTAAGTATTTTTCTAGCATTTACATTATGTGCAACCTGTGTGGAAACTTCTGGCTATTTCATATTACTGGTAAATCTTCAACTCTATGTTAGCCAAGAGTCCTGTTAATGAAGCTTCCATGTGAAAGGGGAATCAGTCTCAGCTCCTATCTAAATCCAGGCTGTGGTGACCAGTTGTTTATTAATGGTAACAAGCTGAGAAATCAAAAGAAATAATTGACATTGGATCGAACCTGTATTTTAATTGTTAATCAATATGGATCCCACTTGAATTTCACTGATTTCTTTAGTGAAATAAGAGCTTTGTGGGATAAGTTTCTTGTACTTACTGTCCAGTGAAGCTCTTATAAAGTATGAGATGTCTCTTCCTACCACCACGCTGTCTCTGTCCCCTGCATCTCTGATTATTATATATTCTTTTGTAATTTAAATCTTTAACTGTTCTAGGTAGGATAAAGCTTTGTTCAGATATATGTTGGAATATCTTTAATACACTTTCTTCTTCTCATATTAGCTATAAAACAATGTTCAGTCGCTTGAAAGGGCTGAAGGTAGAGATCGGGCACCTGCAGCTTCTAATGGAAAAAGTCAAAGTGAAACTGCAAAGAGACTTTGACGTCTGGTGGTTTGAAGAGGCAATGAATCTAGAGGTATGAAATTACTTAATATTTCTTCCGTTCTCATGTAAATGTAACATCATTAAATTACCTTAAATGTAACTTAATTTTTTTCTTACAGAAATAGTTAATTGACTATATAGAACAAGTATGAAGGATATGGGGCCTGATTCACCTGTGCTTAAGTCAGTGTAAATCAGACAAAGCTAATGTGAATTACACTTGTATGAAGCTAACACAAACAAAGCAAAACCCTTGCTTTCTGCTCTATTTTCTCTTTTGACATTTCCCCAAACTACTTGATTGAAAGCCAAGAACGGTCCCCAGATGCCAAAAACTCTGATGGAACATAAAACAAATAGAGGAGATTGGAAAAAATAATCTTTTTTACTGCTAACAAAACTATTATTTCATCAGGTTTATGACGTGTATTAGAAGATGGCAGTCATAGCTGTAATATGGAAAAATCCCAGCAAATATATTTGGGTCTTACCTTCCTTTGTTAGCAAAGACTCCAGTAACCTTTCAGCTTTCCTAAGTTCCCAGAGGGTCAGCAGCTCTCAGCACAGAGCATGTGTCCCCTCACTCTCTAGCTGAAGCCCACCACTGCCGTCACTGCCTGCTTAAGAACCCAGGAGAAACAGAGTGCTCCAATTGAATGACTTCTGTAAAAACTAACTAAAGGGATGTCATTTTAAAGAGTGTATTAGAACATCATAACAGTCTGAAAGCTACAGTTTCACAAACACAGGAGACAGTACAAGAGGGTCCAGAAGGGCATCAACTGAAACAGCAACATAGCTTTCTGTGCTCTGATTTTGACACTTTTTTAATGTCTTCCAAGTGGTGACATGGCAACTCACAGCCAAGCACTGCCATGAAATGCACATCAGCTTAATGAAAAAGACTGATGAGTGCAGTCCATCCCATATCATTTAATATTAACTCGAAGAGTAGATTTACTACTTGGGGAAAAGTCGTTATAAACAAAGAGGTGTTTAGCCAGTATTTTGTTTAATTCTTATAAACATAAATTTAAATTGTGTTTTTAAGAAAACAGCCTGAAGTAAATACAGAACTTAACACGAGGAACTTAGTTATCCATAAAATGACACCTAACAAGCTTAACTTCAAGTTATCATTGCAAAATACTTTTCAAGTTAAAATACCTAATCACAAAGGGCTGATGTTTTAGTCACTCTTGTGTCTAAATATTTAGTCTTTTCGAAACACTGCAAGTAATATTCTTGAATCCACTGGAGCACATTTTTCTTGTCCCTTAACAGGAGAGGTCTAGGATTCAGCCTCTCATGATTCATCAGTAGAAGATTAGAAAACTGGAATAAATAATTGGGATTGATTTCTTGGATCTTGACCTACCTATACATCTGAGCTCCCTAAGAAACTCAAATCAGCGAACACATGCTGTTACATATTAAAAACCTGTAACTTGAGCTTAAAAATACTTGAACCAATACTAAACACTTTTCTCTTTGTTCAGAAGTGTTTGTCCAAGTGAAGAAAATACTGTGTGATTCAGACTCTGTTTTCTGAATGAGTCATTGCCTACCGTGTTATTGCTGAGACCTGTAGGCCAATATTAAGCACTCTAAAAAAATCCTTTCCTACATAATTTTGTTTTTCAATCTCAACCCAGCAGGAAAAGCCACAGATGGTTAGCTCACCAAATACCGCGACTGTTTATCCCCAGTCTATCAAATCCTCACAACATCTACCAACTAACAGGTAAACTGGTCATTTTTCTCTTCTTTACTTGTAAGAAAATTCAATTTTAGTAGAAGTGCAGTTCACCAGAATGCTTTTGCAAATATAACACTAAAACACTGCATTTACAGTTACAAGAGAAATGACTGTGTAGAAAATTAATTTTTATCATTCAGTTATTTTGCAATCATATTGAAGGTAGCTTATTGTAACTCAGTTCTTTTGACTTGTTGGTCTTGGGAGCTTAGAAACTTGTCACTAGGGACCTCATGACAGATAGCTGAGAAAAACAAGCCTGTTATCATTCAATTTTGCTGTATGAGGAGACTGTATCTCCTTTGGAATGTACTCAGGGGACTGAAAGACAAAAAAAGATCAAAAAAATATTTAATATACCACCTAGATAGATTCGTGGGTGAAAAATATCCTGGTGCTACATTACTGCAGCATATTATTCCACAATGATATTGCATCTGATATTGTAAAACACTAGTGAATCCTCTACAGTAGCAAAACTGAGACCAGTCCTCCAATAATAAACACAAATGGTAAAGACATTTGAAAGAAAATAAACAACAAAAAGACCCCAAACAAACAAAAAAATAGAAACCAAATTTTAATTTGGTTGTTTCATTATCAGTCACTTCTGGTTTCAAAACCTCTAATTTAAATTTGCAGCAATAAATCTTTCATAGCCTTCAAGCAAAACACACACCTAAATGTGCAGGTTTCCACATTAACTGACAATAAATGGAGGTATTCTCTCTCCTTCCCTCTTCCTCTCTTCCTCCCCACCTATCTCTTGCTCTCTTTTTTTCCCTCTCTCTCTCTCCCCTTCTTCTCATTATACAGTTAATCTTTCTCTGATGAGTGGCTTTACCTACGATTTTATAACTATTTTACATAATGTTTTCCGCTTTGCAGCAACCATAATACGTCCTACATACCATTAAATCATGAATATTGGATTTTCTTAACACTGTAAAATATATTCTATTTTTTATTGTAAACTTTCATGTATCTATACTAAATGCTCCATAATCACTACAGACAAAGAAACACATAATCATCTAAATTGTCTAAGGAGGCATTTTCAGATGTCTCAAACAGATGGAAACCAATTCTAGTCTCTACTTTGCTTCAATTCTTTTTCTGCGTTCTCTCAAGACTTAGGCACTATTTGCTTTGCAAATGCCTGGCAGGTCTTAGGTCTAGTTTGAACTGTTTATTTCTAGTTTTAGGTGGAAGGTTACTTGTCCCACAGAAAAGCTGATGAAACATAATGTGAGAGCATTTTTGGTCCATCTTAGCACAAATTCAGCCAAATTATCTCACACAATCCATGACTGTCACTCTCTCTCACTTTGTACTGAATTTGTGCTAAGGACCTCTTGCACAACCTCTCTGCCCTGTTGCTCTTGGGAACAACAATTTCCAGTTGGTGTGCTGATGCATTGCTCAGGAGAGTGATATCTTTTGCAGACTAAGCTAGAATTAAAAAGAACATATAATAATGCACAGGCGCTTTCCAGTGCAATGGGAGACTGGCCTCCAGGAGTGGTGATTTCTCCTTCCCCCACCCTAGCTCAGAAACAAAATTGCATAACTGTTTTCTTTATAATTTTCTTTTAAATGCCTTTGCCATTTGTGTTTATTACTGGAGAACAGGCGTCAGAAAAGCGTGTTTAGAATTTTGAAGAGAATGGGGGAAGCTGCCTGGTTGCTTTCAGCTGCCAACCTTAATTCAGAGACCTGTACTGCCCCACATGGTCTCTTGCAAAAAAAATCATGTTCTTTATAGTGAACAGTTTCTTTGTGTCTAAGTAATGGACATATTGACTGAGATTGACTGGGTGATCCTTGTATACATATCACAGCCCCAGAACATTCATCTTCTTGAACTTAAATTGTAAAGGGAGTCAGGATGAATATAGTTTTGTTTTCCCAACCATTTTATGTTAGGCTGTTCAAACGTATTTCGCACAGATATGTTTCCAGTATGATGTATATGGAAATAGAATTACTATTTCTGCTTTTTGTGAGGTGGGGGCTGCAGGCTTAACATCCCACTGTGCATGAAAATTTACTTTCCCCCCTATTTGAAGCAATAACATTTTAGAATAAAAGTTTCCAATTTCACGGGCTTTAAGAGTGTAACAGTCGAATATTTCTTTCCCAAGGATTTCTTTGACCCCAGTTGACACAGGAACTTTACTTACCAGTTTCCATGATTGTGTAGGATGAGCCCAGGCTACAATTTCTCCTCTCAGTTACATAGTCCTGAGACACAAATGGTTCTTTGTTTCTAACTCACCTAGAAATCAACAGTCTCTTTCTGTGAAATGATATTGCTATCTTCACCCAGCAGAATAACCGGTCACAAAAGTAGAAACTGACATAAATTATATATGATATAATGAGGTGCAAATAAAACCTGTTTCCAAGATGGAATTCAGTTCACAGGTGTGTTCAATAGATATCAGATCTAAAACTTAGTGGGGTGCATGTAACAAATCTAACACTGCTGTTGACAAAGTATGCAGTAAAACCATTCAGACAAACTCCTGAGTGTGAATGGATGTAAATACAATCTTCAGGATTAGAAGTAATAAATTATATTTCTTAGCATTTAAAGGATACAGCTAATCTTTCTTGAAATTTATATATGTGTTTGAACAAAATCCTTTGATCACCTTCTAGTACATGCCAATTGTTGTTATTTGACACGCCTTAGTCATGTAACCAGACAAATTTAAGCCTTGGGAAGGGAATGTGATAGCCTCTAATTGTATTTTATATTAAATCAATTTATAACTAAAGTAACAGAAAAGGTAAGATGGTAATCCTTTGAGGCTTAAGAAGGATACACGCATATAAAAGGCATTTGATTCATGGCTGAACACGTCTCTTTTTCAATTGAAAAAAAAAAAAAAAAGAGTTGAATTGTTAATTGTCTAAATGGGTCTGTTAATAAAAGAGTTGAGGAGTGAGCATTTCTGCCTTAGTCAATAACGTTTGAAAGCCACTGGCTTGATCCCACTCCTACTAGAGTAAGAAGCAAAACATTGATTTCAGTGACCACAGAGCTGAAGTGGGGAAAAGGGTGACATAAAGGTTTTCAGTGGGTTTGGCATGAGAAAAAACATTTCTGAATAAGAAGGGTAATTTCTTGAACAGGTTAATCACATTACCAATCTGATATACTTAAAATAGCTGAAAGCAATTGTTTGTATATTAGAGGCTTACAGACTCATGCTCATTAACCTGGTGAGTAGATTCAAAAAGTTTCGAGACTATATTTATCTTTGCATATGTCTTTCGTATGAAGGTTGCAGAAATATTAAATCTCATCTGATCTGAACATATTATTTAAAATGAAGAACAACTGTGCAAAATGGAGAAAGAATGACCCATCTCTATTTCAGACAGAAAAGGGTCTAATCAGCAATCCCAGACTCACAGTACAAAGAGAAAGGAAGAACTTAAAATAATCATCAATAAGTTATTTTATTCAAAAGGAATACCTAATAAAATCCCTCAAACTTGAAAGAGAATATGCTACTTATCCATACTGTCTCTACCATAAAGCTGTAGTGCTAACTGCAACTTGTACTGTATGTATGTTTATGTCTCTTAATGAGTTTCTGTCAAGTCTGCAAGTCTTAAAATGGCTGTTGGGCTCAGCACTCATGTCTGCTCCACTTCAGAATTCAAGCACAGTGTTTCATTTATCCTCATGGAGTCTTCTCCCACACTGGCTTTCATTTAAGAAATGTAGCAGATCCTTATCTGTTCAAGTTACTTCTCTCACTGAATATTTAATTCCACTAGTGTTGTATTCCCCTTGAATCAAGCAAATGTTGGATAGTTACTAAAATCTTCTAAAAAATTTTGGATTTTTTTCGTTCTCTCAGAAGAAATGCATTCCTCTATAATTCAGTCAGATCTTTCTTAACCTCACTCATTCCCTTTTACTGAATCTCATTTGTCCTATTCCACCAAGCCTCACAGTATGTTCAATCTCAGACTCCTTGTCTCTCCAGCTTCTTCCTGTCACTTCAAATTCCCTTGGACATATTTTCAGATAGCTTTTTATGTTCTCCAATGTCTTTGAGCATCACATTGTTTAACAATTATTGTCCTAGATTGCAAGATTTACTCCCTATATTAATGCTATGTGAAACAAGGGAAGTGTTTGCATATTTTGCAGCATATTCTATCATAATAATTTCTCATTCCTGCCAATTTTCCACAGTGTTACATGATGATAAAATATAATCTGGGAATAACATAATTGATTAACGACTTTTCAAAGGTTTTTACATTCTGTTGGTAACAATTTAACTTGAACAATTTATCTATGAATTTACAAGTTAGGCCAAATTTGATTTTGTAACCAAATAGTAAAATACTCAGATTTCAAGCAGATTGAATCTTGCCTGCCTTTACACAGAACATATGTTCCCCTCATGTCCAAGGCTTAGATGACTGGAGAACTCCAGCTGAGGGCTTTTTAACATTGCAGAGGTTGCACACCTTCAAATTTTGTGTCTTCCCTTTTAATCTACCTGATTTTCCACTTTTTTTCAGCTGGCAAATCAAGCCTTCCTACCATGGCATCCATCACCTCTCCAGCTCCTCTACCCTATGTGCTTGATGGAGCTGGTCAGTCCATGGGATGGTTGTCTCTGGCCCCTGGGTTCCTGCAGCAAGGGAGGCACTGCCAAAACACTCTGTACATCTCTCTAGCTGCTGCCCCATGCCTGACTGAGACATATACCCCCAACAGCTGACACACACCCCCCACCCCAAAAAAAAACAAGTTACCTAGTGGGTGAAAATTCAGGTACTAGGTTGACAGACTATCTTTATTCTCCAGAAAAAGCAGGAATTTTACTGAAGCTATCAGGAAATAGTGCTTTGAGACTTTTGAAATTCAACTCAAGGAAAAATTGGGTAGATTCAGAATGAAAAAGGGAATTATACATTGTCAAAATAACCTGAATAATGTTAAAGCTTAGGAGACAAAGAGACAGACTTCTACACGTTGTTTGTCTATCCAAATCCAAAACTGTGATCCAGGAGTCCCTACTTACACATTACAGAAATGTTGGTTGGAAGCATCTCTAGAGATCTCTAGACCAACCTCTTGCTTGAACGACTATCATCACACTAAATCAGATCAGCTGTGGTTTTGTCTGGCTTTGTTGATCATCCTGAGATGTCCAGTCCTTCAGGCTTAACACACAGAGAGGGAGGATCGTTACCCCCACCTCATACTCTCATAATGTCTTTTCATTAGATTTAGAGCAGTACTAACAATTTCTCATCTTTTCTCATCACTGTAACAACACCTAACACTCAGATGAAGGAGGAGAGTCCTGGCTTTTGAGAACAGGCTAGGAACAAGTTGCATCTGAGCATACAAACCACTGCACAGCAAAATTGCACTCTTTCATTCCCTTATGATTCAATGTATCTTGAAATGCCATGGAAAAATTATCTGAGTTTCAGTATGAAGGACGCAAATTATTCCCATACAGGCCATCCCTCTAGCCTAGGGATTAGAGAAATCTCTGGGATGCGTAAAACATGGATTTGAATTCTGCCAAGCTGAGGGACTCATTTCTTAGATTAGTACTCTAATTGTTAACCTCTTATATGGAAGCAGCACTCTGAGTCATTACAGAAAATAGTTATAACCTTCCTTACAAAATTGCTTAACTTGCAGGAGAAGAGTTTGTATCCCACAGACAAAAATGTCTGGCTATAACACCACAGGCAGAGGTAGAAGTTTAAGGTCCATCTCTGAACAGAGTAACATTAATTTGCTGATTGTGGATATCACCTCACTCAGTCTAAGGGAGATTTTTAATATCACCTTCCTCAGGTGCCCAGTTCTCCCAGAGCACTCTAAGGCCGGCTTTAGCATATTGTCCTATGTTCAGGAATACACCTGAAAGTGAGATTCCCTAGAGGTCAAAACCTTCCACACCCATAGTGTCTAGTTTTTCTAATGGATCTCCATCTATGTCCCCTTTAAAATGAGGATTTAACAATTTTGGAGAATAATTTTCATTTAAATTCAATGGAAAAAAATAGTTCTAATACATAAACTACTGCAGTTTAAAAATAAATTACTTCAATTGACTCACTGTATTTATAAAATTATACATTCTGTTCATGGAAAATAAAAAGCAAAGAAGCTTATTTCAATGAAAAGAAATCAATGAAAAAGGATCACATTAAGTCACATTACCTTTCATTTGTTTCAGGCTAAGAACAGTCATGGACGGTTGCTATGGTTCAATTGATATATAGTGATTTATTAAACCGTGGTTGTATGACTTGGATGCTTAGGTATCTCAGGGCACAGACACAGAGTCCTTTTAGAAAATTGAATTTAAGACCCTAAATCACTTAGTTTTTAAGAACTGCCAAATCAATGGAAAAAATATTCAGGAAATCCTAAAGCAGAATTATGATGTCAAGTTCCCAGATATTGTTAAACAACATAGTAGGTAATAACATCACACATCCATTCTAGCTCTTGTAATATGTAGGTGTAATAAAGCATGGAATATTATTAACATTAAATATGATATTGCTTTAGTTGAATTAGGCTGAGCCTTGAGGTTATTTTAATCCATTTAGGCAGGTGCAAATAGTATGGGGCTTGAGGAGTTAAGGAGAAACAGTCAGTAAACCTGGAGCTGTTCATTTGAAAATGACTTATACTCTTGGGCACAATATCTTCTGCAAAACTGAACCTGGCACAGTGTAATACAGTAAAATTTTAGTAATAAATTTCTTTCCTTTTTCAAGTTCTCTGCCAGAAATATCAATTCATCAGCCAACAATGAACAAACTACTGCAGATTTAGAAAAGCAAGAATTTGCCAATCCTGCCATCTACTGGAAAAATACTAAAACTGAGTAATTCAGTGTTTCCACTTTCATCAGACTGGCACCAGATCTGGCAGCATACGCAACCCCCGGGGAGAGGAGAGTCCCTAGACATCCCATGGCAGAAATCTGACTTCCTAGGGGAGAGGTTCTGCGATAGCAGTATCTGCAGGGACAGGAATGCACAACAGCTGTTTGCAATATATTTGGCTATCATCAACAAGCCACATCCCAAAGCCCTCACTGAGTTTTTATCCAGTCTCCCACTGATTTTGGTAATAATTTTGCCTGTCTAAAGAAAGAATGGAAAATGAGCTAAGGCCTCACTTGGCTTATAGTCAGTTGGGGAACTAAATATACCATTACAAACTGTACATCAGATACATCAAAGTGCTTTACAAGCCCTGCTTAGAAGGCAAATACTAAAAGTATTATCTTTATGAGCTTATTTGTCATTCTTTCATAGCCACATTCTCTACATATACCTAATCAGCACATGGATTCAACTGAAAAATCCTCTTCCAGTAAACAACAAGTGCTTTATGTAGATAAAAAAAAGTCTTGAAAAACAGCTTCTTTGTAATTACTTAGCACGTATTAATATTCCCTCTACAAGGGCTATATTATTCATTTCTGCTCCCATTCCAGTTTTTCAGAGACCACAAGAGTCAGCCCTAATGAAGATTCAGCTGGGAAAAATAATTCAATCACTTCTAGTAACTCTACTTTAAAAACAAGGTAAGTAATAAAATGCCTAGATAACCCTCTATCAGTCTCTATAACAACAGTCTCCTTGAAAAACAAAAATAAAATCAAAATTGCAGATTTTCCTCCAACTTCCAAAACAGCACTGAAGCTGTCCCATAGTTTTACACCAAGTAGCTGCATTTTCAGCATTAAAGAGGTGATTTCTTGTTTGGCCTAAGACTTTTTTCCCCATGAGTTTATGAATCCTCATGACTGTGTCTTCTCAGCAAGAGAAAGGGACTCTGAAAGAGTAAATAAAAACATTTGAAAGGAAGAGAGATCAAAGTATGCAAGTATTGCAGAATGCAGGAACTATGCAGAGATTTTTTCATTCCCATTATTTTGAATTTAAAATATTTTGAATCTCTTTCCTACAAATTATTCTAGTAAAATAAAATTACACCAGCAGTCCAGGTGTGTCAGGCTTGGCAAAGGTTACATGTCATGTTATCTCAAAAGAGGCACTGCTTTGTGAAAATTAGCTTAGCAGGTTAACAGAAACTACTTTTTTTTTTTTTTTGACAGCTTCTCTATTTTTCTCATGGGTGCATTTCTATGTTCTTTTCTCCCACCAAAACATCATGCCAAGTCAATATACCTTCAGAAGTTGCATTCTTATTGTGCTCAACAGTTCTGGCTATTAAAACCCCTAGGAAAATATGGTTCAATTACTATTTTTCCTACTACATTAGTAAGAACAAATCATAAGGGCTTTTTTCTTTCATTTTCCAAAACAATCCATTTGTAGAACAGAAAAAAATCATGGAAAATTTCATCCCCCAAAACCTAATGTTATAAATTGCATTTGTGTTTAAGAAAAACAGAAGAAAAAGAGAAGCTAAAATGGAATTTAGACAGTAACTTCTCAAATACGTTGTGTCTTTTTTATTTTTTATATCGTTGCTAATCAAATGAAAACCAGTAAGAGAATAATCCTTTACTGGTGTTCTGAGATCACCTTGTAAATTATACAAAAAGAGTTATTTTATTAATTTCATAATAATTTCTATATTTTTTTCCATTTTGGTTCACTAATTCAGAAAGCGATAATTAGTAGCACGAAGACAAGGATATCAGACTTCTGTTTATATCAGGCACAGTTACATTCTACTGCAATAGTCAGTAAGGAACAGTGGAAATAACTATAATTACAAAGGTAGGATATGTAAAAAAAGTTTCTGCCTTCAGTTCCACTTGTCCCTCTCCATATTGTAATTTTTATTACTGTATTTCTCATTTCACCGTTAGTGCTTAATCTTTAAACAAGGCTAAAGTCACAGGGTCAAATTCTTAGTTTTCTTAGCTGATTAGAATAGCTTCATTGTACTGCATCATCTTATTCCACCAGAGGATCTATCAAAATCAGAGGTAAGTCAATGATTTAACCGCATGGATACAAGATCTCAGCTGGGACTGGAGACTCGGCAGCTCAAAGGAGTTGCATCTGTCAGCAAATGTCATGAATGTCGTGTGATTGTTGACTTCAATGTATGTATGAAAACTTTATTCCCTTAGAGTAGGCAAAAATACTATTGATCTGTTCAAATAAATAGCAGCATTTTTTCCTGAAGCAACCAAACACTTGGGATAGTTACATCCATCGTTTCTTTGCTAAACTCACTATATTAGTCTTTTCCACTTGGCATTAAGTACTCAGCAGTAGAATATTTTTGACCCTTTTCGGGAGGTTTTATAGCTGATAAGCATATAGCCCTATGAAACTAAAAGATATTGGCTAATCTCAACAATCTATATAAGAGCATTAAGAAGTCCTGAGGTTGATCCTCCCCTGAACTGTGCCATCTCTAACAATGTATCCTCCATGATGAAAAAAGAGAGGAGATAATGGAATAGAAAAATAACCTTCTTACTCAGTTGGGTGCACAAGTATACTTTCTTATTTCAGGACCCCACCAAGTTCAAGTACATCTATTCCTCTGACTGGAGACAGCCAGGCTGATGCTGACATCCTCGCTTTCATTAAAGCAAGACAGAACATCCTGCAAAAGAAAGGTAAATCCTGCCAAAAAGTAGGAAGCCAAACCAAAATCTCCAGTACAGTATTTTAAAGCCAAAATAGCTATAGTCCACATTTATACTGACGCAAGTGAGAACTGATTCTGGCTTAAGTTATATTACATTATGTTCTCAGCCGTTCTAAACACTTGAGGTTCTTCACATGTATTTATTTTAGTAGTTCAATGCTGTAGTGTAAAACTATGAAAGCTGTCTGTTTTTTTCAGCCACCATCAGTGAACTTTCTGGGGCATGCATGTCTATGCAGCCTGCACAGTGTATTTCTTTACACTTAAGTAAATGCATTAGCGTGTGGTTTCTTGATGACTAAAATACTTCCAAAATTTTCTGTATACATTTTGTTTAAACCCTTTGGACTGGTTTTCAGCTGGTACACATTTAGCTGTAACAATTGACACCAAATAAAGATTATGCAAATGACTGCACTGCACCCTACCTCATGAGGCAGATTGGCCCACTGTGTCTAGCAGAGTATGTCCCTAACATGTATTTCACTAAATCAAGGTCTAGTAAAACTTTCTATGGGTATTTGTCACCAAATCAGGTACTGAGAGCAATCATAGGTAGGCAATAAAGTTAACTCTACAGCATAGATAAGTAAAATTGGCAGGAAGAAAAAAGCAATAAATACACGACGATAGCACTGAAAGGTAGCCAGAAAGCAATTAATCATGATAAAGAAAAACGGTCTGATTTTTGTTGGGTTTTGGTTTTTTTTTTTTTTTTTTTAATAATAGTTTTTAGTGGCAGCAACCAATTAGAAGATGAAAGCAGTAGTGGTCACTGAAGCAATAACTTTCCATCAGCACTTGAGTGCTGATGACAGCATTATTCAGCAAGCTATCAGCACCTGGCAGATGGTGTTAGCACTGTCATGAAGTGGGGTTTCGGTATCACGCTGCTTATCAGAAAACTGTCAGGTAAATACACAGTGGCTGAAAAAACAGCCTCCCTACACTCATCCAAAGCAAACACTTAACACAGGCTTTGGGATCCCTTTTGTCTATTTAGAAAAGCTGTTGTCAGGTTTCTTCTGCAAATGAAATTAAGTTGAATTTATAGGCAGCTCACCAGAAGAAGGTTAGAGATAAGTGTCTTACAACAAACATTTGAGGCCTTTAGAAGATCCAAATTTGACTCATTCTGTGAAGTACATTTATCTAACTAATAAGAGCACATTTTGTCCTGTGGTCATCTCCTAAATCATACGATATCAGGAATGCCTCCCTCAAATGCCTTTCCATTCTGATTGTTTCTCAGCCACAGGCTATTTACCAAGCCTCATCCATCATTTTCAGAAGGGACTAGGCATTATCAACATTGACAACTATTAGACCCAAAGCTATAAAAGGTATTCTTGCAGAACAAAGGACAGTCAACACTTTTAAAATTGTTCTGAAGTTCAGTTAGACAAGATGAGCTACATGGTGCCCTAATCAGCTGAAAAGGAATGGAGTAGCATTTGGCCATCCTGGCAGTGCAGGTCTGGATGACTCAACCAATCACCAAGCATAGGCAGGCTAACAAAAAGTAAAGAGGCTTCATAAGTATGATCAGCATATTACAAACGTGTAGGGACCTGATGTGTCATAGATAAGAGACAGCTCTGCAGCAAGTTCTGAGAAGGATTTGGAGTCAACCTGGTAGATAAAAGAAGGCTTTTCTTCCTTGACTGCTTGTGAGGAAAGGGAAAACATCCCAGATTTGAATGATGGAGCCGCCAATCAAAAAAGGTTTTAAAAATCTAATTTAGCAAGATGAAGGAGGGTAGAATCTACGGATTAGTACTACTGAGGCAGTACTTCGTGCTTCAGCACCATAGTGAAACCTGAGGACATTTGTGAGGTGCAGTGGTAGCCTTCCTAACTGGGACAAAGAAATGGGCTGAGAGACTCCACTGTTCCCATATCTGTGATAGGATTATGTGTTCCCTTTTCCTGTGAGCACATCACTTCACTCTTACCTGACTTGTTTCTAGGCTAAAAGGAGATGAGAGGCACAGTAACTCCTGTAGTGTTTGTGCATCATTAGCTATATGGAGTTTCCGATAACATTTGCATCCAAAGCAAAAGAGAACTGGAGGGTTTTCTTTCTGGGGGTAGGGATGGGGACTTGGTTTTGTTTACAAAGAAAAACTATCAGAGCTAAAGTAGAGTTAAGCAGAGAGGAGGAGTAGAAGAAGAAGGGATGTACTCTGACTGAATACTTTGGGGGAAAAAAATTCTGAGTTACCAGTCTCACACAGAACTTTTCCTCAATAAATTTCAAACATATACAAAGTAAATCAGAAAGAAATTACTTGCCCAGAGCCACTAAGCTGAGACTGACAGCTTCATATAGAATCTAAGTGTGCTGAGTCCCAGCCGAGTGCCCTGTTGTCTCCTTTCCAAACTCTCTTTAACTGAGATGTTCAATAAGCATTTCTGCATTTGAACACAAATGTATTCACTCCCTGCACGATTATTACACACAGTGTGCCCTGCAGAAAACACAATGAGAAAGGATAGTTTCAGCCAAACCAAAGTCTGCTAGGCCTAAAAAATTTCAACATACTTACTGCCCTTTCCTTTATTGATCCTGACCCTTTCAAACTGTTATATCAGTATCTTAGAAGAAAATGGAGGGCCCCACTTTACATTAGCTGGGGGGAAAAAAAAAAAATGTGTGCAGAAGTCAATGGAGTGGAAAATAAGTTTCATAAACAGAAAGCATGGGAATGCTCAATATCCTTAGTGACAGTAATGCAGGGGAGGGAATGAGAGGTCTCAGTGAAGATTACCTCAGGATTTGTAGGCCGTTACCATTTGCTTTCTAAACAGAGCGGAATTAAAGCAGGTACACTCACAGGGGCTTGCTGGAATTGTTAAAGCATTGTAATAACTACATTGGAAAGCTTTTTGCCAAAGGGCCACTCTGCAAACATGCTTTTGTTGCCTTGTTCAGTCTTGAGATAGAAAAATGAAAATGTAGAAGTGTAGATGATTGATTTTTTTTGTCTTAAAAGTTTTAAATGAAAAGTGTTTTTTCCTTTCTTTTGTTTTTTGTTTCTGAAGTTTGTTTTAAAACTGACAACACAACCTGAAACATAGTCTAATGTATACTTTCTCTCCTTTCAGGCTTGGGGAACAAATGAAATTCTCGTTGCAGTCCACTATTTCCATTTAGAAACAGTTAAAGGCCTTTATCCTTTCCCTTCCTCTTCTCTTTAGAAACAGGTATGGATAAGTATTTTAAATGTACAGGTATAACTGGTAAAGGTATAGAAATTATTTGTCTTTGACAGCAAAATCCATTTCAACAGGGAAAGATACGTGAATATTTGCACTCAGTATCTTCAGCTTGCGTTAAGATTAAGCAAAACTAACAACCAATCAGGAGTTTGCCAAATATGTTTGTTTATTGAGAATTTATTGTATGTTTTCTAAATGTTAAAATTATCTAATGTATTAATGCTCTTCTCCATCTTTTATCTGGGAAACACTTATTACTGCTGATGGTAGTTTTGCTTGCATCAACTTGCATAAGGCTTTATTAATTACATCTAATTGGTATCCAGAGATGTCTGTGCAAAAATAATAGTTATCTGGGTTACAAAATTCTATAAAATTTAATTTGAGGCCTTTTGCTGATTTTTAATTTTTTTCTCTAAGGAATAGTAGTTTTCATATCAAATGATTAGAATACTGAGATTGTATGTTAATATGAAAATAAATTTTTATTGGAAAGTAATTCTAGAGTTCAAAATTTCCTGACTGTTTTTTTAATTTGAGTACATTAAATATTGTGCAAAATATATACTCTCCCAGAATACACAGGTTTCAGAAGAAACAATGATACTTAATAGGCTTAAAGTAAAACAAGTCAAATACTTGTAAAACACAAATGAGTTGTGAAAATTTAAATGCAGTTATATGTTATATACAATGTAAGTTCACTATTGACTCATTACTACTTTATTGCATAACATCCAGTTATGCAACAATTTATTTTACACATCAGACTAAAACAAATTTTTAAATGCAATGCAAAATACAGTCTATTTCGCTGAGATATACATACTTCCAGATTGAAGCCATCATTTTTCATGTTAGTATTAAGCTTATAGTCATGCATTTGGAAAGGTTTTGGGATGTTCACATGAAAATATAGCAGTATATTGGCAGAAATCACATATCATTCTCAAGGATGTATATTTCCTTAAATTGTTGATACTTAATTCTGTGGCAAATTCATAATTATTCAGAAGTGCATGGTGAACTGGTATATTCAGACCTGCAAAAGATACATGTTTATCAAATTAACAACTAAGGTACAATCAATTAAGAAATACTATATTTATATCTTTTCCTGCATTTTAATTTTCTGTAAAGGTCAGCACAGCTACCACATAAATTGGTAAGTTTTATGCAGAATTTAGGATTTACAAAGTGAGATAAAAGTCAGATCTGCTGTTGCTTTGGGAAGAGAGGGTTCAAGGATTTGGTCAGAGGTGGGAAAATCCACAGGTTTTCCCCACTTTGTATGTCTGCTTTGTTAGAGATTATATTAAAATGTCCTTCTTCTGCCAGAATCTTTGTCTGTATTTTTCTACTTATTAATCTGTTATATACAAACTGTATTAAATATACACTGAATTAACGCTTATACAGCTTTGTTGAGGAGAGCAGGGCCACGATCCTGTCCCCATCCAACCCAGCTAGCTGGAGAAGAACCAGGTTCCAAACCATTGCTGGATGAAGCAGTTGTCTTTTTAGATTTTCAGTAAAATCCCATTATGGTGAATTTATTTGAAGGTTGCCAAAAGAGAATTACTGGTACAACAGTTAATTTCTTTTGACATTGAAGCATTTCCAATGCCTTTCAGTAACTGGTTAAGAGAAGGATCTCAGCACTATCCTGGAATGATGTATGTGACACTGTTACTAGTTGATGATTACATATTCAGTGTTTTATTCTCAGTTTGCCACACATCTAACTTGCAGAGAGAAAAGATTGCTTGCTCTCCTGTTTGAAAATTCTCTAGCCTTTTCTTACAATTTTGTAAAATTGGTATGAAATTCAGTCACTATCAGCAAAGTAATACCAAATTGGCAGAACAGTCTGAGATTAAGATTGTACCAAACACATAAGAAGATCTTGGACAAAAGGGCATCCAATAATCTAAAACTATATCAGTATATAAAACCATATAAATAAATATAAACCTTTCCTTGCTTCTTTGGAAATTTTCATAATATCTTGTGGACAGAAAAGATTGCTCATTCAATACATAATAATCTTAAAAAGTAAAGCATACGCTTTTTAAAAAAACTGTCTCCACTCTTCAAAGGTTGCCCCTTGGATTCATAGGAAAATTCATGTTAGAAAGGACCCCAGCTGGTCCTTAATCCCACCCCTTGCTCAAAACAGCATCAGCTATGAGATCAAACCAAGTTGCTGAGGGCTTTGTTCAGTCTGGTCTTGAAAACGTCCAAGGATGGAGACTGCATAATCTTTCTAAGCAATCTGTTCCACTGTTTGACTCTCCTCATCATAAAAAGTTTTTCCTTATGTCCAGCCTGAACTTTTCTGTTTTGCCTGTTACCTCTCTTCCTCTCACATCCACACTGTCAAAAGCCTGGCTTCATCTTCTTGATGGCCTTCTCAGAGGTGTTAGGGGCTACTGGGTTTCCTCTCTAAGTCTTCCTGTCTTTGTGAAAGCATTTATTGCTTCAAGAAAGTTTGGTTGGCCACAGATGAACAAAGTTGCTTGTTTTATTAATCTATCTTCATATAATTTCTAGATTAATTCGAAATAACCCAGGTACTTACCACACTGAGGAAACAGAGACCCACATTTATAATGGTCTTGACTCCTGCCTAACCCACCTGTAAAACAGTATTGCTAAGCATAAAGATTCTCATGTGTATCTGACTCCTGTCTACTCACTGTGATACCTAGCTGCTGGTTAGTTAAATGTTTGTATGGTAGATATAATTTATCAGAATAAATCCAAATGTCTTTTTTTGTGGAGATTTCTTGGTGAAATAGCTTTACAGTGCTAGATATCATACAGGTATTTCCAGGATTAATTTATGCCAGATATTGTGGTTTACTTCATCTCTTATTTCAAAGCTTTTCCAATCTTTCTTTATAGTTTAGGAGTAGATAGACATCTGCTGGTCTCCTACAACATAGCTTCTGGGAGGGTCGGGATATGACCCAGACTTATAATGAAGGCCAAAGTGTCTGTTCTCATTTATGCTGAATATGCCAGGGATCTATACACAGTCTTAACCACACTAGTGAAACCCTTGAGCTCACCAGCTTTTGGTTTGGGCATTTGTCTCCATTTTCATTACTTCCTGGCCACTGAAGCTTTCCAGAGAGCTCCAAGGAGAAAATGACATAACCTTATGTTGATTTTCTCTTGTTTGGAAGATGGACATGCCTAATTCAATCTCTGCTTTTCACTCCTGCATTTTTTATGAAAGAGGCTCTGAAGTGGAATAATGAGGTTCTCACATGTAACAGTGTATGTATATATCATAATAACTTCCCAACAAAAGATTTTATTGTTCTTACATGGTTTAATCAATCATTAGATGCAAGTGCTTTACAAGAGCACTTCAACATAATAAAATGTTAAGATCTTGTAAATGTTGCCTGTACCAAATATCCACCTGGTGAACATGGATGCCAACAAGAAAAAAATCTGGGAATGCCTAGTTACATATAGCATGTTTGGTAGCTCTATATAGAATTTGTTTGTCTTCTCAAAGTCCATTTTTAATAGCCACGACAATCGAACTTCTGGGTTTAGATGATTTCATATGAATCACTTTTATTGTTGCTTATATCAGTGTTAAATGATCTTTTTCTATTTTTTTTTTCTGTTTCACTTCCTGCAATGTTTGCTTTGAAACCCCACCAATAAGGCAAGCAATGAAAACTATATATTTATAATAGATACTATCCATGCCTTGATTTGACACGACCACAATAAAATTGAAGACTTTCAACTAAAACTGTTTTCCCTTTCCCTTGAGGGAAATCTCAGGGGCCACACCTGAGAGGTGCTAGATTTTCTAAAGATTATCTTCTGTTTGTTGTTTTGGGCAACTGAGGTGCTTCATCTGACATGAACAGTGAACTAAACGAATACTTGTATTTGTGGGCTAGCAGTGGGTTTACCCAAATGCATTTATACAGGTGAAGAACAGAAACAACAAGATCTATCTCCAATACAATAACTTTTTTTTTTTCCCCCCATGGAATCTATCTGAGAAAAATTTTACTGAAATTTTGGAACTCTTTATAACTTTTATCTAAAAATGCCTCATGGTTTCACCTATGTGAGTGTAAATCAGGAAGTCAGAATGACTGGTTTAAATTTGGAGTGAGAACAAAATCAGAAGTAGAAAATTGCCAGATGGAAGTGTCATGGCTGAAGAAATGCAATGTTACTGTTATTTATATTTAACATGGTTCTAAAATACTTTTCTTAAGTCTTTTCTGAAGTGTATGGTTTAAAAGTCATTCAAAGAGCAAAGCAAATCCAAACAATTCAGTATTTCCAAATATAAACTCTTCAGGCTGAAATTCTGAAATTCATACCCTGTGGAAACATGGCACCCTGGATATTTGCATCCAGTTTGTCATCTGGTTAAGACCTTATGCTTGTGCTTGTTGAGCTTCGTAAGGTTTTTGTTAGCCCACTCCTCCAAGTCTTCCTGCAGGGTGACCCTTCCTTCCAAAGTATCCACTTCTCCACTCAGTTTGGTATCATCAGCAAACTTCATCAGGGTACACTTGATGCCATCATCCAGATCACTTATGAAGACATTAAAAAGCTTTGGGCCCAATATTGATCCCTGAGGGATCCCACATGTAACAGGTTGACAGTTTGAAAAAGAGCCGTTTACCACCACCCTCTGGGTGCTGCCTGTCAGCCAGCTCCCCACCCACTGCACAGACCACTTGTCTAGACCGTGACACATCAGTTTCTCCAGGAGGAGGCTGTGGGGAACCACATCGAAAGCCTCAGAGAAATCCTGGTCGACAATGTTCACCACTTGTCCCACATCAACCATGCAGGTTACTTTGTCATAGAAGGTGATCAGGTTTGTAAAGTACAATTTGCCCTTGATGAATCCATGCTGGCTTTTGTCAATCACATGCTTTATTTGACTTGTGATAGCCCCCAGGAGTATTTGTATCATAACTTTCCCAGGGACTGAAGTAAAACTGATGAGTTTATAATTTTCTGGATTCTCCTTTAAGCCCTTCTTGTAGATGGGGGTGACATTAGCCTTCTTCCAGTCTTTTGGGACATCCCCCCATCTCCGAAACTTCTCAAAGATTATGGAGAATAGCCTCACAATGATGTCAGCCAGCTCTCTTCACACCCTCAGATGGATAACTTTGGGGCCTAACAATTTGTAGGGGTCAAGCTCCTGTAATAGTTCACATATCAACTCTTCCTTCACTGACAGCAGATCTGTATTTGCATCAACCTGTATTTTTGTTCCCAAGGCCTGGGGCCCAACAGTGCTGGTAAAGACAGAGGTGAAGAAAGTGTTGAGAACCTTTGCCATTTCAGCACTGTTGGTGACACACTTCTCATGTTTAATAGTGGGTAAATATTTTCTTTCTGTTTCTGCTT